TCACTTCGGCTTTTAATTACTTTGCCAATTTCTTTCGAAAGAGAAAGGGAAAAAGGAGAAAGAAAAATAATAAACGCGATACGAAGGTGAAAAAGGATGTAAAATAAAAGAGGAAGAGTAAATGGAGAAAAAGAGGGAGAGAAGTAGCCTGAAGATCAAGGGAAGGAGGGTGGCCAGTAGGGGGAGACTTTGGTGAAATCAGTTTCTTGAATTCCTTAGAGATAGAATTGTAAAATAAGTTTCAGCTCTCAATAGCCCAAGGACCGAATACTGTGCTTGAACTTTCTCGCAAACATTACCGTATGTTGGAAGTTGTAGCGTGTATCGTTTGTGAGTTTTATGAGCCCAAGGCCAGGTGGCGAAATCGAGAGCTGATCTGTTGTGAAATCCAGTCTTTCAGGGGATGATTGGAACACTGAAGCTCTGGTCGGCTGATAACACTGTCGCGAGAAAGTTGACATGACTTTCTCCCGCAAGTTATTATCTGCTGCCTTTGAAATTGTTGTAAGTTTTCCCTTTTGGCTTTTAGGATACAGCGTTTTTATCACACCTGTTTCTCAGTGCTTCACCGCGCCGTCTTGCTTTCGCTCGTCGCTCACCACTCCCCAGCGCCCCACTCATTTCCGGCGGTCCACTTCCTCGTCACTTGCTCTGGCCACAAGGAGGGGCCCTCTTCATCGCCCTTTGTCTCCCCCTCATATCCCTCATAGCACGAGCGCGTCACTTGTGCCATATCTGTTTCGCCTTGACTGCCCTCGGACCGGTCACCCTCTCCACGCCCTACAACTTTAACCCTCTCAGCCCTCTGTTTCCTCTGTCCACCCTTTCATTCTTCCCACTCACAACCCTCTGTTCCCTCACTCTCTAGCCTCCCTTGCCCTCGGCGCCCGCAGTCCTCACTGGCGGTGGATCACATCCTCTGTTCCCCCCGCCCGCCCTCGCTCCCTCGCGCCCTCCCCCCTCCCCCGCCCTCCGCTGACACACAAGGTGGCACTGTCCACCAAGTCCTGCATTAGTGGCTCTGCCTCGTGTTGGGAGTGATAGTATCAGTATCCGACCCTCACTGAATGCTTGATTAATGTTGTCGAGCTCCTCGTCCGGGCGGGTTCATTTTGTTGCTTATCTTGTTGTTGACAGAGCGGCAAAAGTGTTGAAATGGAAGTGTGTTCGTTTGTGTATATGTGCACAAAAGCATATGTGCAAGTGTATGTATGTGTATGTTTGTGTATTTCTGTGTTCTTTCTCGGCCTGTTGCTTGCGCGTCATCCCTTTTGTTTTTCCGTCCTCCCTTTTGTTGGCTCTCCCGAGCTTCCGACTTTTCATTCTCTACGATCTCGCCTCGTCTTTCGGTGCCTCGTCGCCTCCTTCTAGCCTTGCCTCCTCCGACGTCAGCGCTGGCGTAGCATAATCATATTGCTGATCCTAAAGTTTCTATAATGCCGTGAAAGGATCCATACATAATGAACCTGCGTGTAGCCCCCAGGCGTCAGGGTGTATCACGTTCATCCTTTGTGTGCGTCCAAGTACACACACACACACACACACACACACACACACACACACACACACACACACACACACACACACACACACACACACACACACACACACACACACACACACACACACACAAACGTATATATGTGTGTATATATATATGTGTGTGTGTGTGTGTGTGTGTGTGTATGTATGTATGTATGTATATGTATATGTATATGTATATGTATATGTATACATACATATATACATACGCATACATATACATATACATATACATATGCATACACATACACATACACATACATATACATACATACATACATACATACATACATACATACATACATATATGTGTGTATCTGTGTTTGTGTGTGTGTGCGCGTGTGCGTGTGTGTGTATATGTATGTATGTATGTATGTATGTACGTATATTATGTGTGTAAGAAGTCTGTTTGGGATGCACAAACCTTCAATATCCGCCCTCGCTCTTCCTTTATGACGTAATCAGCCTTTTAGTTTCATATTCACCACTGCAATAAAGATCAAATTCACACCGTAGAGCCTATAAAACTTGTCTTATTGATACTCGGCATGCAAGCCATCTCCGCTGATCCAGCAGCCGTTCGTCAAGAAGAGCATTGTGGCAGCCGGGCCCGGGGGCGGGGGCTGTGTCGGGCGCAAGTCCACGGCCTTTTTGTGTCTTGTTCCAAGTTCGGAATCCAGATACGCTTAACACTGGCCCTGGCAAGTGTAACTGAAGGGAGCATTTCCAAAACAATACGGTGGTCCTGAGTATTCCTCACTGCTCGGAAATGTTTTAGCTTGAAGAGAAAAAGCCAAAAAGCTGAAAGGGAGATCCGGAAGAATGCACCTCGCGCATTGGTACGAGGATGAATGGGCCAGGAATAATGTGACGAGGGAGGCCATTCTATTGACACGGATCCCGGTAAACTAAGTTACTCCGGTACCGAGTTTTCTGCCGTACAAAGTATCGGTGCAACGGCGGCGCTCCCCCCTTCCCCAAGTTTCCACCACCACCACCTCGGTCCCCTGTTACGTACTTTCTAACGAACCGGAATTAACGAAATCGTGCGTAAAATGAATAATATCCTTCCGCGCGGACTCATTCCATCCAAAGGCCTCCCACAGGACCGCCATCATGCCGCTGCTGCGTGTGAAGGAGGAAGCCATCGATGGCCATGGCACAGGAGCGTGTCTGGCCCGTGTTTAGCATTCACTTTGTGTTATGTCTACTTTAATGTCGATAAATCACCAGGAATATTGCCGTTCAACTCGATAAAAAAACGGAGTGTGGGATTGGTTAACTTCGTGCATTATAACTGCCGTGTCGCTTTTTGGGCGTTTGAATGTGAAGTTATAGTAGGGTATAAGGAGGGCGGGCGGAGAGAGCGGATCATCTGGTTCGGAAAAGGGAGAGGACGCGATGGGCGGGGAAATAGGGATGGGGAATTTGTTCGTTTTGCGTCGAGATTAAATAAAACAAACTTGAACGGGGTATTAACTCTGAATTAAGTCGTTACTGACTTTACCCAGGACATTTTGCAATAGTCTTAGATGAATAAGTGCAAAGCGTTGTTTTTTGTTGTTTTTCGCTGTTTCTGTTACAATAAAAGGTTAACAAGATTACACAGAACACCTCGTGTTGTCGATGTCTACAATACATCGCTCAGTGAGAGTTCTGTTTCAATTTGAAATTCAGTTCTAATTCTAGTTTAGGATATTATGATAATCACGTAATTTCAGTTTGGAACGGACCAGATTTGGTGTTAATTAATTCCGAAATATGGCAAGTTTTCCACGTCAATTCACTCTAGAATATAATAGCTTTAACGAATGTTCAGTTTGAGCGAACTAAGTTTAAACCTTTATGCCTGGTGTAGGTTTTTCTTATACCAGTTCCCTTGGTATGAGAAAAAGAGCTGCTTCATGGCGGGGGGAATGATAAATAAATACATATGTTTGAGTATTCTTTGAAATTGAATTAAGTTCATAATGAATGTGACTCCTGAACTTTAAATTGGGCCGAGATATTTTCTGCTACGTTTCCCGACATGGTGCCTGCTGGGGCGGGGAGAGGGGGAAACTTTTCATGGAAATACCATGTCCCTCATCGGCTTAATGCAAGGAAGCCTCTCCTTTTCTCTCCCGTCGTCCTCCTCTCTCCTTGACTTCTCACCTCTTGCCGCGGCGCGAGGCGAGAACTCTCCAGAATCTAATAGAACTAGACAAGCATCCACTAGGATCTGATAGGACCAGAGAGGCATCCACTAGCACTTATTAGGACTATATCATCATCCACTAACATCTAATAGGACCATTGGGGCAGTCCCTAGCACCTAATAGGACTAAAACAGGCATCCACTAGCATCTAAATAGGATCAGATACACTAACACCCAATATGACTAGGCAGGCACCCAATATCATCTGATAGGACCAGAGAAGCGTCCGCTAGCCCCTTGTAGGACTAAACAGACTCCCAGTAGCATGTAATAGGAAAAAAGAGGAATCCACTACCATCTAATAGGACCAGGGTGGCAGCCACTAGCACCTAATAGGACATCCTGGGTTGGAGGTTCTCGCGAGGACGAAACTACCCACGTGGTTCTCCCATCCTATGTGTCTTCCGCCACGCCCATTTTCTCCACGGATAACCGCCCACGCCCACTCTCTTCGGACTTCCCAGACCACGCCCACGCTGTTAACTTCTCTCCTGCCACACCCATTAACCCCAAAGTCTGTACGCCACGCACTACCACTTTCCAGGTTACTGTGTGTGTATGTGTGTATGTATACAATTTATAAATGTATGTACATTCATATGATGTACAGCGAAATAATTATGATGTGTTCACATTTTTAGATGACTTACCAGACTGTTTCTTTAAAAAAATGCATATGGAGGGAAAACAAAAAGATGGAGAGGCGAAAGATGGAGCATACTAACATTATGAGTAAATTGGCGGTAGGGAATTGAGTAGACTTTTATATTAAGGTTGGATGGGGGGGGAATCCAGCGTCACGGGCGTCAGCAGGGCGCGGTGCCTCGTAGCATACAGAGCATCACTAAACCGGCGAGAAGCGTCAGCGCGGCCGCCGTCTTGCTGTCGTGCCCTTGCTCCCGAGACGCGTCTGGTACGGCTAGGTACTGTCATTATATGATAAAAATGAAAAACACGAATATCTTCATTGTGTAGAGATAATACTGGTTAGTGTTTATTATAACCTTTGGCACCATGCTTGTTCCTGGAACTAACCTTTCTTATCACTGGAAGGCGTTGTGTCCTTTATACACAAAAGTTAGTGAGTCAATCATAAAACAGAGCACCTCCAACCATGCAAATATTGACAGGCCATTCCCGAAGGCGCCTTAGACCCGGTGTTGCGCGATGGCCGAGTCAACAGCAAGTCGAACGTGGACTGGAGGTCGGACAGTCGATGTAGTGTGAGTGCTAAGGGATTTTCTTCTTTCTCTCCCGAAGGTGCAACAGCTTCCGCCACCACGCGAGGCGTTGGTTTTGCTGTATAAGGCGCCCAAGTAAGGCAGAATAATGCTCCTGGCTCTTTCCTATTCACTAACATTCATCCATCGTCAACTTTTCGGTGAAAGTTTTCGGGAGAATTTTGAAAGGCCAAGAGTCATGAAAGAGCTTAGGGACGACCTCCTTTTTCCTTGGATGTGCTGATTTCACACTCATCGTGCGCTGGTGATTTTTTCATTTTATCTTAGATGAGTCGTTCTGAAAAAAAAAAATCAAGGAAAAAAGAATAGCTTTAATGACAATAAACTACGATGGCTGAGTCTGAGCGGCCAGTGAAAGCAAACATTGTAGATTGGATGTAGAGGTAAAATCACAGACTGTAACAGTACACGAACAGCGAGATCGCGGAGGTGAAGCGTGCATGGTTGCAAGGGGTCCGAGCAGTCAGCCCTGCTCCTGTGGACCTGCTGGACACGTGCCTGCTGAAGATGGGTATTACGTAATAGAAGATGGGAAATAAACATTCGAATGCGAAATGCCAGTGCCCCAAAAATGCTAAAAAACACAAGCAACACCATGATTCCCGCAACCACAGCTCACACTGTGGCGACAAACACCACAGCAAGCCAAGCATTCTTTACAATCAACAGGACAAGCAGCACCAGCAGCCCAGACTTCACAATCCGTACCACACAAACGTGGTCCACTGCAGAGGGTGAGCGCCGGACACAAACTTTTCTACTCCTTGCAGCCATAAGCAAAGTTTAGACGTTTTTCTTTTTAAAGTGTCCTCCAAAGATGCAGATTTTTTTTACGTGTTTCGTTGTTATTGTTTTTCCTATTTGTATTAGTGTTGCCTTCCGTGTTTCCTCTCTCCTCATGCTTGTTTCGTCTTTCTTATTCGTCTTTCTCTTTCTGCCTATTGTTATTGTTTTTGCCAATCCATTTGTTTCCACTTCTTCCCTCCTCCTTTTCTCCTTCTTTCTCTTCCATCTCATCCTGCTGCTACTGCGGCTCTCACCCCCCCCCCTCCTCCTCCTCCTCCTCCTCCTCCTCCTCCTCCTCCTCTTCCTCTTCTCCCCCTTCTCCCCCTCCTCCCCGTCCTCCTCCTCCCCTTCCTCCTCTTCCTCCTCCTTCACCTCTTCCTCCTCCTCCTCCTCCTCCTCCTCCTCCTCCTCCTCCTCCTCCTCCTCCTCCTCCTCCTCCCCCCCCCTCCCCCACTTCCTCCTCTTCCTCCTCCTCCTCTTCTACCTCTACCTCCTCCTCCTCCTCCTCCTCCTCCTCCTCCTCTCCTCCTCTGCCTCTTCTTCTTCCTCCTCCTTCTCCTCCTCCTCCTCTCCTCTGCCTCTTCTTCCTCCTCCTCCTCCTCCTCCCCCTCCCCCTCCCCCTCCCCCCCTCCTCGGCCTCCCCCTCCTCTTCCTCCTCCTCCTCTTCCCACTCCTCCTCCTCCTCCTCCTCCTCCTCCTCCTCCTCCTCCTCCTCTCCTCACCCCCCCTTCCTCTTCTACCTCTTCCTCCTCCTCCCCTCCTCTTCCTCCTCTTCCTTTTCCTCCTACGTCTCCTCCTCCCGCTCCCCCTCCCCCTCCCCTTCCTCCACTCCTCCTCCCCTCCTCCTCCTCCCCTCCTCTGTTTCTTCCTCCTCTGCCTCTTCCTCCTCTTCCTTCTCCTACTCCTCCCGCTCCCCCTCCTCTTCCTCCTCCTCCGCCTCCTCCTCCGCCTCCTCCTCCCCCCCTCTCCTCCTCCACCTCCTCCTCCTCCTCCTCCTCCTCCTCCTCCTCCTCCTCCTCCTCCCCCTTCTCGTCCTCCTCCTCCTCCTCCTCTTTTCTTCTTCCTCTCCTCTTCCTCCTCCTCCCCCTCCTCGTCCTCCTCCTCCTCCTTTTCCTTCCTATTTTCCCTCCTCCTTTCCTGTTTCTCCTTCTTGTCTTCCTTTTCCTCCTTCTCCTTCTCCTCTTCCTCTTTTATTAATTACCAACGTTGCTATTGTACCGTGTAATTATTATATATCCAAATGATTTCTACGAATATAGTGCTAATTTTGCTTTTCTTTCTCTCCGCAGGTGAGTAAGCGGTAAAGAATATGCCACCTTATGGACAGGCTGTCGGTCCGGTAAGCAAGTCATTGAGTGAGCGTCAGAGTAAGAATGAGAGAGAGAGAGAGGGAAAGAAAGAGAGAGGGGGGAAGGGATGAGAGAGGGGAGAAGGGAAGAGAGGGAGGGAGGGAGGGAAAAAGAGAGAGAGAGAGAGCGATTCGCCCATGCATTCATTACCCAAGGCTACATCTTTTCCTGGGCGGGCGAGCTGCAATCAGGCCTGAAGCGTCCAGCCCGGGAATACTGATGTGTAACACGAGGCACCTGAAGGCCAGCTCTCTGTAGTCATATTGAGCGTCGGTGCAAGGTAAAGGGTGCCGGGCGGGTCCCACCGGCGACCTGTCCTAAGTAAAGGTGTAATCACAGAAGTGCGGCCAGATTCGCGCTGTGCGGTTATTGGCCGCCACAGACCCGCTCTCTCCTCCAGCGCCTTCTTCATTTAATTTTACGGTTATACTCATCCCGGCTTATCCGCAGAACGACCGGAGTTGCGCGGAGGATCTGAAATTTATCTCCTTTTTCTTTTTATAATGTTCTTTATTGGCGATACAGTTAGTCGGATGCTCTTTGCTTGTTAGATTTAGTTACGATTCCCTTTAATAGCCGCCCAGTGATGTTGTTGGCGTTATGTATGCTCTGATAATGAAGACAGATGTGAGGATTGTGATGTGATTATGGTGATAGTTTGTGCCTCGCTGCCGCGCTCGTCAAAGACCCCTCTCCCCCCGCGAACACGCCCGAACACTGTTGTAACTTTAAGGGCCGCTTGTAATCTAGGTGCGATGCAGCCTACTATTATTCTCGGAAGTCCTCAATATTTCAGGCCACCCACATTATATCTGCAGTGTCGGCCGTCCCTTCTGATGATATGGCTCTGTCACTCTAATGACGGGCCTGATGTTCTCGGCCTGTCCGGAATAGCTCGCTCTGGTTTCGAACTCCGCCACTCTGCACGAGAGAGAGAGAGAGAGAGAGAGAGAGAGAGAGAGAGAGAGAGAGAGAGAGAGAGAGAGAGAGAGAGAGAGAGAGAGAGAGAGGGGGGGGGCACGCGAGTTTCTTAATTGGCCTGTCTTTGATTTTAGCTACTTTGTCATGACTGTGAACAAAGTCGGTTGCAGCCCTTCATTTCCTTCGAGCCATTTCCGCTAATTAATTCACTTCGCCTGCGCCTCGATGAGGTTTTATTGCATTTATTATGGCATCTGTTATTTGGAATGCCTTGTTGAGCTGCACCCTCATTTCCCCTTGGAACACCACGCCCACCTCCCACGCGTCTGCCACCGAGCCTTATGTTGCAGGCGGTCTTCCTTTTGTGTGATAACGGGTGCCTTCACCTCTGCTCCCCTTCACCCGTGCGGTTTATCCTTTCGCTTTCCTCATAATGAACAGAATTCATTTCACAGGAAGATGCGTGAATAATTGTGAGCACACACCTATGTGTAGCTAATTGGTCTGTAATTTTCTGTATTTCAGCGTCCTTATTTCAGCGTCCTTATTGGAATAAATTCCAAGACATAGTACCAAATAAATGGAGGGCCCGCAGTTGTGAATGTGAATATTGCAGGTAGACTAACAAGCAGCAAGAGTATTAAGCGTAGACGTCGGTCAAGGTAAAAGTTTGAAGAGCTAAAAACGTTTACAGGATAAATACGTGTTTATCCTGTAAACGTTAAGGAGTAAGCGGATTGTTGGTACGTTGGGAGTATTATTTTTGGAGAAAATACGAAGTAAAAAGGGAAACAGAAAATTTTCATTTTTAAAAATGGCTCCACGTAGAGTCATCACGTTTTTTTCATTCACAAAGTAGCACCGTCTTCCCTTTTCCTTTCATATCACGTTCTTTCTGGAAGTAAGTGCGCGTCCCGTCATATCCATCGTGCGCCGCCCTGGGCAACCGGCATTACCCGAAGTGAGAGTGCAGTCAGCCTAGGCCTACTCTATTATCTCGGACGCGCTGGATCTCACGCGCGAGTAATTTCTAAAGCATCCCCGAGGATCCTCCAATTTGTATAATGACGGCAGAATCACCGACGTCGCAGAGATCCGTCGAGATTTCCGTTTCGGATGCACACATCTAAATATCAACGCCAGCCCATCCATCTTTAGCAAATATAAAGTTTATGCGAACTTGCGGGTAATGGGAGACCTCTGTTGCCATGCGAGGGTCATCTCTGTCTCCGAGGTGGCAACGCCCAGCCGTGACTCGAAGTGAAATGCGTCACAGTGCGTCCGTAGATTTCTGTTGAATAGTCAGTGAATTTGCATCTTGCATGGTGATGCACTGTAGTATATATATGTAATTTTGCAAGGGTAATATTGTTTACTGAAAAAAGGAATCACTATATCTTCATAAGGTTGTCTTTTGGCTGTTCCGAGAGAATAGTGTTTCGAGTCATTGTTGAATTGTATGATGGTCGAAGGGTTTGCCGTGCCGTGTGTCAATACTCAATCAGCGCAGCACACAATGGGTGTTACTGCCATGAGAGTGATTCGTTTTTGTATTGACTACTTTATTTTGTGTTTACATTTGGGGAAATCTTAGAATTGCACCTAATCTAATTTTTATACAATTTCCGTTTGTCAGTACACATTTTGCTGACGTTTTCAAATAACTTTCGTATGCCTTTCCCTTTGTCTTACAATTGACATCTTTTCTCCATTTTCTACCTCTCTGTTCATATAAATTCAATTATTTTATCTTTTCCTCTCGCTCTCTCTCATTCCTTTACTCTTTATATTTCAGCTCCTTATATTTTCTCGATGCTGCAAGTCCATTTTCCCGATAAGTTATTTCTTGTAACATTCTACAACGTCTGGATGGTCACGCAGGCACCTTCTTTTGCCAGCTTCCCCGTCCCCTTCCCTCCTCCTCCCCTCCCCTTCCCGCATACCGCTGCCCTGGACTCGCCTCCTCACGCATGCTCTTCCGTAATGTTTAGTCATTATCAGCGTATTTGATCACTCGTTCCAGCTGCTTCCTGGCGGTATCTGGAGCGATCCTGATTACCCTGATCGCTGCTGCCTCGGTAATGGCCAATTGTCCCTCATATGATTGCCGGAGAGTTTTCCTCTTTCCCCGAGGGGTGTTTGCGTACCAGGTCTCCCCTACACCTGGCAGGGATCCCCGGCCCCTGCCACTCTACCGTCCCTAGACTGAGGTGGATTCTGGCATCACGCTCGGGAGAGATAAATATTACTGTCTGGTTGGGGATTTACATGATCCGCTAAAACAGGTTGTTCCTTTTATTAAGACGCTTCCTACACGACGGGAACGGCAGTGGTGGGGTGGGGGTGGGGGGGGGGCTATATGGCTGAAATTTATTAATTTCTGATTGCGGTGAAGTAGTAGATTTTGGGTTTTTATTGCGCTTTAGTGTATTTATAAAGCACTTTATGCAATGATAAGTGCATGATATAGTAGCAGCCGTCGGAACCTCACCAGGCGGACATGTTATATCCGGTTGAGAAGCTCACTCAGTCAAGACTAATGAGATTAAACGTCTGTAAATTAGATTTCCGTGGCACTCTGGTCGCCACGGGACCCACGACGCACGCGCTCGCTCCTTACGCCGAAAAGAGCACGATCATTTTAGTACAAGATAAATGCTACTAGAGATTTTAGGATA